CTAAATCCTTGTTGGCCCCCTTTGTTTATTTACGTCCCCATTCCCCTTTCTTTCTTTTATTCGAGTTTTTTTTCCATTCCTTTAATTTCCCAGAGCGATTTGGTAAACGGGCGTTCATTCTTTTTGAATTTTCCCGGAACCCTTATTAAAGGGGGCTTTTCTTTTAGTTTCAAATATTGTTTCTTTTTTTTTGTTTTTTGGTCCAAATTTTGGTTTGCAACCCTTTGCCCCCACCCAAAATTTCCAGCCCCCTTTTTTTTTTTTTTCCACCTTTATAAATACTTTAGTTTTGGTTTTTCTTTTTTTTTTTCTTTTTTCTTTTTCCCCTTTTTTTTAAAAAATTTCGCCCCTTCTTTTTCCCCCAATTTTTCAAAGTTTTTACCGTGGAGGGTTTCCCCGGCCCAAACCTTGACCCCCCCCTTGACCACCCCTTCTTTTTTGAGTTGCCCAAACTTCCCCCTCTTCCCCTAATGTTTCCGTTGGGGTTTTTTACCCCTTAAGAAAGGAGTTGGGCCCCCCCCAAATTCCGAAACCCTTTTTTGGTTTTTTTTTAAACCCCAGGGGCCTTGATTTTTTTGCCCCCTTTTTTTTTCCCCCCCCATTACCCGGGGGTTTTGGGGGGGGGGGGAATGGAGAACGGAGGGCGCCACACCGAGTATGTATACGATGGCTGCTGAAGACAGCGAAAAGAGGGCGTTCACGTGATGTCTCTATTGACGTCTTGAAGAAGGGTTGGCAACGGAGAGCGGAGTGTTGGCGAAGTATGTGTACTCGGCGGCACTATGGTTAGGAACATGCAAGGGAGCGAAGACCATGCAGAGGTGGAGATGAATCGGGGGCGGGGGGTGGGGGGAGACGGGATGAGGGCGCATAGGGGGCAACGAAAAGGCTGGATACCACCGAGGAAATGTCATGTGGACAGTTGCATGCGCTAAGAAGGAGACGAAGAAGAAGAAGGAGGAGAGAGAGAACGAGAATCAAAGATCAGAGGTATCAAGGGAAGCTGTTGAGCGCATTCATGCTGGCTGTTACGCCCTTACCAGAAGCTTTCCCGGTGTTCCGGCGGCTTCCAGCTCATTCGAGATCAGAGGTGTTCTTCCCCAGCAGAGGTACCTGTATTTGCGCGATTTCAAGGCGAAATGAACGGAAGTGCGACCGGGAGTACCTCGTGGCCGGTTCTATGCCATGATAGGATGGTTGATTACTTGTTTCGTCCCCAAGCATGAAGAACACGGACTGACCATCGCCAAAGTCTGATGTGCTTTTGTTCTCTCCCGACACAATCATCTTTGATGCAGGATGGACGGATTGTGCTTAACAATATACCCCTGCTGGAGATCGAGGTATCAGTACTCGTATGCAACACCAAACATATGCAGGAAATGGTCACGATGACGCCTGCAGCTATTCCTCGATTGTTCGTCACGATCCGGCATCCGACAACACGGTCCTCAGAATGCGACCACCACCACCGGCATCAGTCGTCGGTCTCGTCACTCACCTAGGCTTGAGCCTTCCGATGACGCCACCAATGCACGGCCCAGTATGCAGGCCCACCCGCATCTCGAAGTTAAGGTCTTCCTCGGTCTTGATGCGTTCCAGCTCGAACAGCGTGCGGAAAGCGTACTTCACCATTGCCATCGCGTGATCCTGCTCATTATCAAGCAATAGTCGGACGATGTTCTACTGAAGAAAATAGCATCTCACCGAAACCAGGCCGTCATGTCTAAGACACTCGCAAGTTGTCCACGTACGGAGCATCGTACAGGCCTCAGAAGTCAATTGACATCGTCTTCTCAGGGTAGCAGTCGAGCGCATACGGGAGAAAGCAAGCAGACAGTGTCGTGAAACTGTAGAACATCGCCCCGCATGCGTTGCCGCAACACCATCACGATGTGCATTCGACTTGTCGTCAGCAGCGGATGAAACTCCTGGAGGAGCTTTGTGTCGTTGAGAGTACGTCAGTCTCGTAGCTTTGTCAGTTCCGTAAGCCACACCACGACCACTACCACGTGCTACCACCACTAACTCCTATACTACCTCCACAACTTCTACCAGTCTTTGCAAAGAGAGCCCCAGCACTCCACATAGAAGCGACGGACAAGACGCGGTCAGTGCCCGCTTCATACTTCACCTTTCGAGACTAGCATTATCACATGCCTCAAATCGTGACATGCATGTTTTTGAGACATGCCCCATGCCTTGGGTTAGCAAACAACGTCGTCTTCAGTATCCCCACATGGGGGGAACGAAGTGCGTGCTGTCAACATATTATTAGAGTCAATGACACTGTTTTACGTAGGCAACGGTGAAATTCGAAAAAGCTTTTATGTTAGCTGTCCCCGTGTCATCCGGTGTGGACGACTTCGTGGCATTCGCCTCCCCAGGAAGCCCGTGAGCATGAGGTGATGGAGGGAGGATAAACTTCCATCTACACGCCGCTCAATAACCATGAGCCCCGGGTCGATTTCCGAACGGCAAGCATCGATCGTACATTACCACCCCCGTTTCGCACTCGCCTCCTGAGACTTGAAACCGTCGAGGCCGGCAACCACCACGAAAGCATCGCCGACCGTGTCGAGCTTATACACCCCCAGGGCGTCCAGGTGGGTATCAAAAGCCGTGTACACCTGACAGGGGTTAGTCGAAGAGCGAACAGAACCAACAAAATATGGAAGAGTGAAATATTACGTTTGAAAGACTAATAATAGACTTTCATCAGTGCAAACCCCGCGGTGCGTTCAGGTGTTCCCCGCGAAAGAGGTTGACACTAGGCAGCGTTCCAGAGCACACTCGCAATTCTGTGCAAGAGGCATCGACAGACATACGTTGTGCTAACGGGCGTGTTTGTGGCAGCTCTACCGTGCGAAGAGCGGTCAGGCCAAGTCGTTAAACACGTAAAACATGTACTTCGAAGTACGAAATACTATTTTCGAGTTTGTACCACCGACGTTGACATATTGACCAGTTGACTGTACGGCCAATGACATCTACCAGGCTTTGGGAACTCAAAAGCAAGAGCACCCACGCGCGGGTAGTCGCAGAATTCCTAACTTGCTGCGTATAGCTTGTCCGCCCCGCTACCCCTCACGTCTAGCGCAGTCCATGCTACTGTAGGCAACGAAGTGTGGACACTGTGGCCGTTTCATTGGTCAGGGAACGCGGTCGATGCTGCATCAAGCATATCACCAACAAAGCTAGCACTATGCTGAAACCCGCCCTGCCGTACCTTGTTGAGGACGCGGTAGACCTCCTTCGGCGACTCTTCGCTGGCCCACTGTGTGTACCCCTTGAGGTCGCTGAACATGATGGTGACGTCTTCGAGGTGGTCGACCACGCGGCGCCCCTTCACCAGGGCCCGCACGTGCTCCACGTTCGGGAACATGTTTCTCAACAGGTCTTCCGCTTTCACCTGTTCGGGGCGGTGACGAGGAACGTTTACAGCACTCGCTCACCGCAAAGGTGACAGCGCCTGCGACAAGTCGGCAACTTCCGCCTGATTGGCCGTAAGGTTGATCTCGTGATGGCAAAAAGGAGCCGGAGAAACTTCACAGAATAGCAACACACCATGCGGTCAAACAACGGTTCTGTTTTGAGCGGTTCGTTCCACAATGTTCGGCCTTAACGGACGCTAGAGGGCTCACCCATATCCGGAACTTCCGTTAAGTGACAAACGGCTTAGAGCAAGAGACTCTCGGACGAACTACACCCATGTCATTACGAAAGCCGCTAGGAGTCAAATGAACACCCTTTTCGTTCTTCAGGCGGTGTTATATGGGTGCTCTAGTACTGTCAGTTCGATGCTAAAGTACATATCCTATCGCGTCCTTTCCATAACCCTCAAACGTCGAAAAGGAGATTTAATCTCGACGTTTCGGAAATTCCAGGTTCGGAACACCTCTCCCTACCGCTTGACAGTCGCGCTGCTGCATTTCCATAACAGACCCCCGACAGTGAGAGTCCCCACCTTGTTGTCCTCGAGAATCCGACGGTGGAGGTATGTATATCGAAACTCTCGCTCCCTCTTGTTGCACGCGTAGCTACCGATCAGGGCCGCCCCGTACACGAACAGGAGGTACCCCACCACGTCCTCTCCCTTGACAGACGACAAACACGTATCACGCAAAACAGTTGGGTCGAGTATGCGTCTCAGGTATCCCGTGTTGCATATACTCAGCATTCCTCGTTCCTTAGTAGAGGCTGATACTGCTGTGCCCTCTCGCCCGACAGAGTTGGGGCCATGTATTTTACTAAACTAGAGCGCTCATGTTCGGCAACGGAGTCTACCGACATACGTACGTGCACTTTGTAGAGTGAAAATTCGCTTTGTTCGCCCCGCGCGGACATGCCTAGCGTTAGGCTTCACGACAGCTGTTATTGCCGCTGTGCCCTGTGAATGTTGCATTTTGGGTGGTCTCTCGAGCGAACTACTTGTACTGCCCACGAAACAGAACTGTTGGAGAGAAACGAAGATGGGATATCTTGGGCTGTATATTCTCCTCACGAAGGCTAACTTCACGCAACGTTACGGCTAAAAACGCGTCATACACCTCTCTCGTAAACCAAATAACCTTGTTGCCGCCCTGGCTGAACACGGTTAGCCCCAAATAACTCCCCTCGCGCCGAGTATGCAGTCTCCAGGTTCATTTGCATACATGTTGCGAGCAGCCCCACTCGTAGGCGTATGTCACGGCTCATGTTACTTTGCAGTCGCCAACTGCAGGAATTTCGAGATTCACACAGGACTCGAAACTCGATAGGCATTCGAAAGTGAACTTTCTCGCTTACATGGTGTGTTTGGGCCCCAACCATGGCTGCCGTGTAAGCCACCACGTCAACCACATTCACCGCCAGCACGTAGGCGTATTGGAGATCCTGCGGCGTTCGTTTGTTGCTTGTGGGATTAGTGATGGTCTGGGTAGGGCAAGTTAGGGTTGTTGGTGGTCCGTGGTTTCTTCCTGTAGCCTCTATTCGCACAGCTGCATTGTGGCACGAGGCCATTCCTGAAGATTTTCACGTCGTAGGGGCGAGGAATCGGATCGTATGGCAGAATTGCGGGGTTGTTCGTTTCACACGTGAGATCTCACGAGCACCGTCCAGTGCAACAGGCGTTGCGGGGAAACAAATGCTCAATAAAGACAGCCGGCAGGTGTTGAAGTTATTGCTACTGTAAGTTCGTACACATGTTCAACACAGAAGGGCCCAAGCCAACAACGAAGACAGCCGTCATTGTGTTGAAGAAGCTGTTACTCAATTCGTGAACATAGTCAACACCGAAGGACCGGTCACGTCCGTGCCTACCCGCTCTGTGCGTGTCAGGTCCGCCTGCCTAAGGAGGCGACGCCGGTTGTGAAGACGAACGTGCTGTTCACATCAGGTACCTTGTACAACACACCCGACATCTGTGCATGATGACTGATGTCCGTACCACGGGCCGAGATTGCTCTCAACCACCATGAGCGATAGCCCTACGATGCGGGCTAATGGTATCCACATAGACTAACGAGCCCAGAGACAATGTTATTGCGATGTCCGATACCGACAGTAGTCATGCCCACCCCGTGGTTCTCACAAGTCACCACCAATGGGCGCTGCAGAAAGAGTGGTCTCACCATGAGCAATGATATCGTGACGAGGCTGATGATGTTCATGTCCATCATGTGGAACTCGGGCACTAGAAGAAGCAACGCGTTCAGCGAGATGCAGAACATCACCGCGGTGACGGCCCCCACCGGCTACATGGGAGGGTGGTGACGAGCATAGACAAGTGAAAGGACGGACTGTTGTGGCACAAACCCGAAAGATTGATCAAGTGCAGGAACAACAACAGTAACAACAACGACAATAGTATCGAAAACAAGACAAGAACAGCAGCAGCAAATAATAACGTCCACAACCACAACCACAACAACGACCACAAAAGCCATGGAGTTACGACAACGGGCCTACGTCATTCTTCGGTGCATGCCGTGGACACCGCACGGCGCCAGGTCCGGACGTTTGCGTACCTGCAGCCAGCCAACAAACTTGGGATCTCTCGTGGACAAGAGCACGACCAGCAGGAGAAGGCACACGGAGACTCGGATGCCCACTCGTGCTCTGGTCACCTCAGAAGGGCTCCGGTAGAAATCCAGGTATATCGAGGCACAAACACACACCCACGCTACCAGCAGGAAAATCTGTGCAATCGCCATATTCACGGAGATGTGGGTGCGTGTGCACACGTGAGCGGCGGGGCGACAGTGTCGAAAGGTCGTCGCGAGATGGATCCATAACATAACAGAAGAAAAACAAATAGTGAATAACAAACGTTATTGGTATCGCGCCTGGTATCACGGCTATGAAGAGCGATCGTGAAAAGTTAGGTTGCTAGTCAGAAACGAGTTCGTGAGAGCACAACCTGTGAAAAGTGGTCCTTGACCTCTTGCCAAATCCCCTACTACTTTCGGCGCCGACGTTACCCATATTCCATAATCGGAGAGGAAAACCTTGGGAAATCGGTCCGTCAGGGTGTGATATACTCCATTCGCACAATGTTCGCTCGGGAATACGGCATGCTGGGCAAGTTGCTGAGAGTGTTCTCCCTGCCAAGCTGCCCGGAATTACCCGATGGGGAACCTCATCACGCTACCCAGCGCAGCACATGCCTACCCCGATCTCCTGCGGACCAGACCTTTCCACTCCCGAACAAAATACCTGAAAGTGCTGGAGATGGCTCGCGTTATATTGGTGCTGGTACTCCTTCTCCAACTCGTCTGCGAAAAAGGCATTCCGGGTGTGTGTATGTGTGTCAAGGCGAAAGAGTGGGAACACAACGTCTATGGAGCTCGGTTTAGGCTTAGGCTAGTGGACCTATGCCATGGGAGTCTCAGGATATGCTGCAATCTTTGATCTTCAAATAGACCTGCATGACCCCGCTCGGTCGTCTAGGGAGCACCAGTCAACGAGGGCTCAGGAAATACAGGTCGCTGCATCACCCTCTTAAGGCAAAGGACCAACCCACACGCGTTGACGCCGGCTAGGTTCTTGGCAGCGCCTTCGACGGCCCTGAAGTCACGGAAATCTCACCTCCTAACGCCGTGTTCTGCGAGTCCTCGTAGTTGGACCCCTTGAGAGTGAACTTGAGCCTTTTTACCCGGATCATGTGAATCTTCCCTTCTTGGGAAAACACACCCTGGTCTTGCCCTTTCTTGGTTCCGCCCCCCTTGTGCTGGAAGTTGGGGTCATAGACCTGTCGTTCCAATTGATGTCACGTGGCGTGGAGGTGCAAGGATGCGTTGGGTGCAAATATAGAGAGGGCATTTCCAGCGCAGAGCGGAAACCCGGCATCACGCGTAACAATATTCTACGGACCGGATGGAAGTTCGGGCCTAGTGACGGATCGATATGAGTTTGAGGTGAGTCTGCCCGCTCACATCCATGGAGAAGAAAATACGATGTTGGAAGAATCAAGGACACCAAGGAATACGTGCGGAAGGCCGGATTCCTCCCATACCCCCCTAACCCAACAATTATATTGCATTTTTCATTGGCCGACACCACGACGATTCGTTCAGCCTACACAAATAACCCATTGTCGTCCAACGACTCTTTGGCGTAGGTCGCGTCGGACGATATATTCCGAGTTCAACCGATATCCAGAGACTAAAGGGGCGTGGCTGTTTCACGTCAAATTGGGTTGTGATGCGTCTGGATATTCGCAACAATGCCAAAACATTGCTGATACCCTTACAGCAACCTTCTTCAACCTCAACGGGCTTAGAGTTTCTTGCCATACGCATGCAAAAACGCTCGGTTCCTGGTCCATGCTGCTCTCGATACCTTTGTCATCTTCTCAAAGCGTCGAAAGTTCCTCCACAGCCTCTGCCCGAGCCCGTCCGGGTCGAAGCTGGCGAGGTGCGTGTCGATCAACCCCTTCCCCTTCATGGCCACGCCCCTGCGAAGCTCGCAAGCCGACTGCTTTTCAGGGGAGAGGGACTCAAACGCAGACTTGCTTAGCTGCACCCTGCCCGGCAGTCCTGTCGAAGCTGCACTCAATCGTACGATACGGGCCGGCAGTTCAGAAATATTTGTGATTCGAAACAGAGGCTCAGCGTTTTACGACATACAAGAAACAGGGTTGAGGAACACAGCTCAGCAGTGGATCCTATACTAAACTCGATACTTCAACGTGTGCTCGACAGTAGCGATGAAATACGAACTGAGACTCCAAAAAACTACAGTACCCATAAGAGAGGGCGATTAATGTACAACCGTCGAACCGGGAGAGGACAACTCTCGAATCATGGTTGATGTAGGGTCTCGCAGCGCAAGATATACCAAGGCTGGACGATTGCCGCCTTGATTCAGCATGATGCGCCCAACGGAGTTGAGTACAAGAGCTGGGTCTTCTGAGTTTCTTTAGGCCATCCTGAGTCATGGACCTCTGCAATCTACTCTATCGCGAGCCTTTCTCTAAGGTGCCAAATACGTTAAGCCGCCAACACGCTCATTGCAAAATCGAGCAGTGAGCAGGCAACTGTGATAAAAATTCATAGTTTTCATGTGGTCTACATAATATTTTTTCTGCTTGGGAAGTAGTTGCCAGTAAGGAGTAAGAAACGATATTTTCTGCAAATCGTCCATCCCCGACAGCAATCAAAGGTCAAATCGCCCATTGAAGCTGTTGAGAACAGTCGCTCGCAAGAATCGACGATAATTGTTGTGACGTTTCATCAATATTTCTCCGAAATATTGTAAGGAACCCCCTTTGAACCTTTACCGGAATAACCTAACCAATCTCTTAGCTCCGTTTGAGGAATCTCTCTTGTTGAAACTCAACTCATCTCGTAGAATATCCTGCAAGCCATGCTCAGTTGTGGCCTCACACGAGAAAGAGCAGATGCTCAGGCAAAACATTGGTTGTTTTGTGAGGAAGAAAGTAGCAAGGCGGGGTCAGCTGATACGCACCTGTTCTAGAAGCCATGTTTACCGTGTCGCCGAAGAGATGGTAGCTGTACGACTTCACCCCCGACACACCGCCCACGACCCTGGAAACCCACCAAAAGTAAACATGGGGCAAAAGGTGGTGATGCAAGCAGTCTGTCGTGGCTTGAGCGGATAGTATTTGCTCTCGAGTGATTCCGGGGATGCTCGTGCACACAACTAAGACGACGGTTCTAATGGCGCCACCAACAAAACACAGACAAGACGTGAAACGTTAGCCAGGGCCGCAGAGCATTCTTTACACTATCAAAGCAAAACGTGTCGGTTATCCCTTCGAACGAGAATCACTCCGGAGCAAATTCTCGACGACCTGCTGCATATGGCGAGGGATAGACACCGCTTTGCCCAACAACAGACTGTTTCTAAAGTTTCAAGAAGGCGTGTGAGATAACGGCAGAGACAAAAGTTACAACGGCGAGAAAATAATGACAAAGTCGGCTAAGCATCTTTTAAGAGTATTCGGCCTTTGCTCACCGGCCGGTGTGAACCCCGATCTTGAGGATCGCCCCACTACCAGACTCTTTCGCTCCGACAGCGGCTGGTAACCTGTACACCAGGAGGACATGAGGACGAAATATGACTTCTAGGATACAGGGAAGAATGCTGTTGAAGCGGTGAGCAATTTCTTGGTGTCGATGGCAGGGAATCTGTCCTGGTCGACGACTTCTGTTCGTGCTCTTTCCTCGAAGTATGTCTTCAAGACCATCGCCCTGGGAGATTGGGAATCTCGTGGTACAGGAGTGCACTACTCCGTCTACGACTTCCTAGCACGATAGTACGAAGTAGGAAGAGAACCAGTAGAGGACGTGTGCGAACCGCTGACGGTCATCGCCTTAAGAGACGAAACGCAACGGCCGTTCCTTGTTAGATGGACCTCTGCCCAGGACACTGACGATGTTGGTACTGCAAGAAATTCATACACTCGGCAGTCTCTCGATGAACAGGCGTAGTGTTTGGCAAGGATGCCAGAATCTTCGGCAGCACACAAGGCAACCCACACTCCTCCCTTGAAAGTAAGCGTTGGCGCCTACATTCTGCATCCGGAGAACCCACTTGTTGTTGCCACGCGTGGTGACTTCTATCCAGCTTCGTGAAATGCGATAGGAACAATGACGACCAAAACCACACCCTCGCCACGATTTCAGATGACAAGGAATCCTCGTGACCCACATTCGTAGGAGGCTTCTGCTCGCATGATGGGGCACCATGAGCGTGGGGTGCGTACGAACTACGTCTGCTGTTTATTGTCCTTAGCGTACCCCGATTCGCCTTATCTTGCACCAAATCGATGAAAACAACGTCACCGGGTTTAGGCAAGAAGGACCGCGTCTACCGGAAACACTATGTTGTGTGCTTTGTCGTACGGGGTGTGCTCGGTTCCGCCGACAAGACCGCCCGGGGAAACTGACGACCCGAGATGCCTTCACTACACCAACTATGGTACGATTCTCACTTGCTGCCGTGGGCGGCGACGGCCAGCATGCTGAGCGCCATGTCCCAGATTCGATCCGCGTGCGGGGCAAGGTTTTCTCCCTCCCCCTCCTGCCCACCCCCCGCGCAGCAAAGGTACGAGCAGTCGATGGCCTCCAGCTTGTACACGTGGTGATACTCGGTGCACTGTGGGGGGTGGGAGAGGCAGGCCGGGCGGATGGGAGGTGGTGGTGGGGCAAAGGTTCGTCATGTGAAGAGCGTAGTGACGACAGGTCGATTCGGTGCGCTGCACCGGGGTGCGAGCTTAGAAGCGAACCCGGGTGCATGGCGTCGAGTCGGGTTGAGTCGGGTCTACCCCTTGTGAGATCGGAACTCCTTCCTTGAAGAAGCAGTGGTAAGGGAGTCCGCCCGCCCCCTGTGTTGGAACGAGCGCCGCGTATCTCAAACGAACCTGGTCGAAACTGGAGAAGAGCGAGTTGACGAAGTCCACAACATCGTACGGGTCACAGCTTGTCGTGAGCTCCTTGAACCCCGTGATGTAGCAGAACAGGATGGTGATCTCTGACCATTCCTGCAGCACTGCCTCCGCCGCCGTCCCCTCCTTCAGCTGCTCCGAAACGCTCGCCGGGAGCACTGACGGTTGTTTCGAAAACAAGGGTGATTGGGTTGTCAGTCAAAGCCTCTGTTGCGGTTGTTGCCATTGGTTGCCGTTGGTTGGTTGTTGCAAACATTGCTACATGCCCAACGCTGCAGCGTATCGCCATCGAATCTGAACTAATTCGCGACACGAGAGACACTACCCTAAAACGGCAAAAAATTTTCGCTTACTCGAAGCGCAGATCGCGTCGGCTCTGCCTCTCTCGCTCGAAATGTTGCATCGTAGGACGAAGTCCTCTCTGATCTGCCTCTCCACCGTGTTGGAAGAAATCATCGACAGCACCTATTTTGGGTGGAAAGTGGCGACATAAGGTGCGATGTGGCGAGATTTTTGCAATGGCTGTTCATTCGGTTGTTCATTTGGTTACCTGTGTGTTGTGTGCGCTAACGAAATTGTGTAGTCCAATCTTTCCGCATGTCTGATAGTGGACGAGTTTCGTGGTCCTCGGAGACCGCGGATGGGCCGCCGGAGAAGTGTCAGCGCACGCATGTTTCCAGCACGTTCTACACGCTACCGTGATTTTGAGGCCTCGTGTGGTGCAGGCCACAAAAGAAACGCACCAGGAGGATGGGCACAAGTGCGGAGGACTGCGTGAAGAACGACCAGAACCCGTCCCCGCAGCAAAAGCCGCTGACCATTGCCAGCCAAAGGAAGAAATAATGCATCCACGCCACGATGTTCGAGTACATGTAGCGCAGACCACTGCTCCGTCCGACGAGAGAGAGACAAACACGGGAAAAGAGGGGCCAAAGTGGAAGAGGTGTGGGTAGTCGGGGTTTTACGGGATAAACTACTCATATTGGGACCTGCTAGGTGTAGCGCATACCCGCGAGGCAGGGCCGGAAACGTCGGGGCTTCACCGACCAGAGTTGATGGGTCAGAGGGGAGAGGGGGGGTATACATGATAGAAGTTCAGAGGTAGTGACTCACAAACAGCCTTGCGCGACGCATGGGCGACACCGGTGTCTATTGGGCGGAACACAGCAACGCAAAGAAAATGTTCTGTATCTCGATCAATGCCAAGCCTTCCCTCCAACACTTGGAACAAGGAATACGGCAATAATCTTCGCGGAAAAATCGGAACGACGAGTTTCGAAGATAGATTCGGTCATCGTGGCACTAGCCGCAACACTATGACTTCGCTACCTCGAAGAGGACGCATCGTGGGTTTACGTGAAGGACACCGCTTGAGCACACAAAAGATATTTATCAGGCGAGAAAACAAGCGATCGCTGAACGACAGGACCACATAAAACCCCCATCAGGCTACATAGTCACAAGCGCCGCTGCCTCCCTCCGGGATCGTGTTCAACGCACCACTAGACAACAGCGAAAACCACGACGAAATCAGCACGGCCAGCCACGCCTACAGTAAAGAGCACGGGTGCTACTGCGGCATGCACCTCCTCGAGAACACGTAATGAAATAGACAACGCAGAGATTCCCGAGTTAAAACACAGCGACGACTTTCAACACCAGGAGCACAAAATCACCAAATATTGCATCTACGCACGCTTGGGAGGTGATGGAAAGACGTGTCGCATGCTTGTGGTCTAGAATCCGTATTCGATCGTTGACGGCGCACCTGATGTGATAAACAACCACCACAAAGAGGAGCGAAGATGGCAGGGACCATCTGCCCTCGAAGAAAAAGTAAAGCGGAGCTCCGTCGGACGTCGACTCGGTGCCCCGTACGCTGCACACTACGTCGATGGCCACCAGCAGTACGCTGTTCAACTGCGAAATCATGCGTTGGTTGGTGCAAGCGCGAGACAAACCTCATTCGGTGCGCAAAGACATACAGGTCAGTTGGGGAGAGTGCGTGGGCGTTGGGACTTCGTCATGCTGGTACAGTGCGAGCTCTCGGCGAAGTGGAAAAGTATCTATGTTTATTGGGGGAAACGAGGGAGTTGCTCCGAGGCGGGAGGGGTTGAAGACTCCCGGAACACTACCACCGAACCTATCTGGCAAGGTTTGGAGATCCTCCGACAGGAAATGTTCGACATTTCTCCGCAAGCCCGACACAGGCATGCCCCGAGGACTGGGAGAAAACTCGGTTGTGCACCTCATCGATGGTGTGAGGTGCGATAATTGTCTGGCCTTGTTTCCCACACCCGTCGCACTGGAACTAATAAAGGTGGCCAGAAAGTAGTCGTTGCCATCGAAACGATGTGGTGCTACCCCATTGTTCGGGTCCCAACGATGAACGACCCTACAATTTCGTCAAGCAGCAGGTGAACCACAACGCTCAAATATAACCAACCACCCATTCCTTGCAGACACCAGCGAGAACTCACCAGACGGCAATTCGCCGAACAGCAATCGTATCTCAGTGGAGCCCCCGTCAGAGAGCCGCCCGACTCGCGACAAAGCCTCGAGGGATGAAAGAAACACCCCGATCCCCAGAAAAGCCAACTCTAACCCCCCCCCCGCTTGAGCTAGAAAACCTCACCATGTAGAAACCCAGGGTCAAGGGATCCATGACCCGGTGGAACTTCTTGTCGAGAGTCATCCACGAGAAGCCCGTCAGGGAAACCATGATCGCTAGTCGGAGGCAAAGCACCCCCATCACGGCCCCGGCGGTGTACCCGCAGGTCAGCTCGAGGGAGCCGAACAGAAGGTGCAGCGCCATCTGGATCTGGACGCCGACGCGAATCCTCGGTATCACCCACGACCGGTAGTGTTTCCGGAATGACTGATACGATTGTGGTGGAGGGTGTTGGTGTTGTTGTTGGGGGTGTCGTTGGTAGTCGTGTTGTTGGTGTTTTCCTTTTCTGGTCACGGTTGTGCGGCATTTGTTGCACAAACATATTTTCTTGGTTTTATTTCGTTTCGCCAACGGGTGGGAAGGGGGCGAAAGGGGGGATTGACCAATGCTCGGCGTGGGTACTCGGGCGAACGTAAAAAAAAATCGAATCTGCTGGCCACGAACGCTGTCTTAAGAATCGAAAGGTTCCTCGCCAATTCATACCTAACGAGTTCTTTAGGCTACTTATTTCAGGACTGCCGCGAATGACTGGGCATCAACGGAGGGGAGGTCGGGCCAGCAAGATAAACGTAGCCAGCTTGTATATTTGAACGCCTGTCGTACAGAAATACGCAGGTATCGCCGTCTAACGGCCGTGCTCGTTGCTGCGCTTGGTCACGGGCGTGCCTCTTCTGCAATACCTAGGAACGAAGTCCGTATCGAACCCATCGTGGCCTAAAGTGAACTCAACGTTAAAGGTGACAACCTTAGGTAACGCTCAAGGTGACAACCTTAGGTGGAAAAGGCGCCCACGTTTCGGGTTTGGACTGCCTGTTTCGAATGGAGGGGAGAAGAGTGGCGAGACGGAAGACAGCATCCAAATTTCTTGTATCTTCAGACATGTGTGCGGCTTCCGGTATACTGTCTCCCTCATATCGTGAGAAAATCTGGCGCAAGAAAAGGATAGAACGTGTCCTTTGTCGCCGTTAGGGCCTGACTCCGTTCATTGTTCTGTCCGTTCGGGCCGTGTCTCCGAACAGCTTGCCGGGCCGTGTCTCCGAACAGCTTGCCGTAGCCACGATACCCACCATCGATTGTACAATGCAGCATCCACATCTTCAACCGTGAGGTGACGTTTTATCCAAGAAAAACATTGCTGTCACCACAAGCAGATTCGAGCTTGACTCCAGAATAACCAAGTAACGCAGAACCATCGTGGGCCTCCCGCGAAATGGAGAGTGGCTATCCCGGGGTTCAAACTTAAGGAGAGAGGTTTACATCCCATTGGTTACGAGTCCTACATTATTTCAACAAGGGTAAACGAACCTAGAGTACTTGCACGACAAAAAAATTGCCGTTGTTGTTCGTCGGAATGACAAACCCTGACCGCTTAGACAATAGCACAAGGTACTGTAGAGGATGACGCGGGTCCAACTCCCTGTCCATCAGCCAACTCCTGGCCAGCCCTGGCGGTATCCCCCAAGGAACCCGAACCTCCAACGTCCGACAAAAACATTAACTTGACACATCCTTCCTTTGCCATGGCTTACCTTCTCCAAGATGGGATCGTGGAACTCGAGGGTCCAGATGCTCATCGCTCGCTCCACGGCCTGCGCGTCTGCCTCGGCGTCGGCCTGAGTCGTACGACAAAGATCGGAGGGGGGCACAAATGGGTAGAGATATAGACATGAACTTGTGGAGACAGATGAGGATGATGAGCAGTAAATATTGCAGTAGAGAGAGAAACTGAGACAGGCAGACAGACAGAGACAAAGAGAAAGTGCACGTGGGGACAGAGGGTGCAATACTCGATCAACGGGTGTGCAGCTTTATTGCGGTGTGACCGATTGGGTCCCTGCCGCACTCACTACAGCGAGTTGAGAATCGTCGGGCACGAGCCGGAACAGAACAACGCAAGCAATCGCAAAGCGAGTAGGTACGCACAGCGAGAATGTTATTCAAGTGAGTGTTGTTCCCCACGAACGTTAGAATACAGGTAGAGGAAACAGAATTCTTGGGAAAATTTTTCGAGGTGCGCCGTTGCCGGGAGGCTAGGTGACGGGGTTGCCACTGGAGGTTATCCTGGTCTACCTAACGCAGTGCAATTTTTCCGGGCTAGCAACAAGTTGCTCATCACACGTGGGACCGGCGGTGCACCAAAGGGCGTGGGTGTTCTACCTCTCCCCCCTCGTCGTCCATCTTGTATGATTATTGCGATCGGCGGTGTCTTGTGGGACGTACTTGATGGCGAAGCGAAACGTTTTTGAAGAAGCGTCGCAGCCACGGCTGTTTCGCAGGGGGCGTGTCGCGAACAGCTACTGTCTACGGTATGTGCTGAATTCCCGCGTGCCCAATAGGGTGCTGCAATGTTGGTGTACGCTTGCTTGAACTATTGTAACACCATACCGCTCTTGACTAACCTCTTCTTCGGAGCTATTCCCCTCGACCGCGGCAGCCGCCGTCTTCGATCGCATTGCCACGTTCAGTAGCCTAGTTCGCCGATTGTCGCCGGCCGCCGCGGCCAGCGTATCCCGATCATTGGTGCCGGTGCCAGTGATAGCGGTGACATTCGCCGCGGCGACTGCGATATGTTTGGCGATGCTCGAGCTTCGTCGTCTCAACGCTGGGGCTACCGCCCGTACTCCCTCGTTCAACCTGCCATTGGTATGATGTGCCTCACTCTTGTAAGTGGGCGAGTGCACGAACACCCGTCGTATTCTAACTAGTGGGGCTCACCGTTGTTGATGACAGCGCCGATTCATGCTCTGTTGGAAATGGTGCGATGACCCTGCTCGGCACATGATGTTAGATGTTTTGTTCTCTGCATGCATGCCATGTCCACATCGTCTAGATGTGGCCGAATGTGGGGTCTCGGGCTTACAGTGCTGTAGTATCCACCCCTCTGGGTTGGGGGAGGTTCAACAAACAACTATCGCCCGTCCGCAGCAGCGCGGTATTTATTCAGGTATTTTCCTGTCCAAGATTCAGCACGGGGTACTGTGTAGGGTGTTCCGCAAGCATCTGGAATGAACTGTTCATCCGTCGACATTCGTGTTGTACGCGTAGGACGGATTCACAGCAGTTACTACTTACGTCTTTGAGAAGGAGACGTGTTCCTCACCGAAAGATTCGCAGATTCTTGCAACAGCTCTACCATGCTTAAACATGCACGTTGCGCACGAAACATACCGCGCGAGTTGTTTCTCATACAACAGCGGGGTACTGCCCGCCGTCGATTGTATTCAGTGGCCTAACACGCAAAAACTGCAAGAACCGTAGACTAGTCTGTCGCGATGTAGATTATTCAAGAAGAGTCTCAGCAACTCGGAAGGAGGAACGTCCCGCGCCTAGTTTCCCGTGTGATATTGTGAACTCTCGAAGGGCACTACTGTACACTGTAGACAACATGTAGATTCAGCATGCGACATATTCGCCACGTTTGGGCTTCGAGCGGCATGCGTACATGCGTACTTAGACTACTGTGCAGTCATCATACAGTAACACGTCTACACAGCTGTACAATGATGTCCGCTCCCACTTGGCACAGAAAAAAGCGTACAGTGTCGCGAAACCCCATCGCTGCCAATAGCTGGAAGCGATGCAGACGACATGTAACTTTCGACGAGCAGAGCTCTACCTGTTGCTTGTCTTCGCGGTACATCAGCCGACCCACGGACACACCTATCAATGATCCCTCCAGAGGCTTTTCCTTCGTTGTCCCCATCATCAGTACGACCAAGCTTTCCTCTCTCGCCACCGGTCGAACTCTTTCTTCGCCTTGCCTTCGCAACGACGGTCCCGCCTAATTCTTCATCGACATCCTTCGCACTATTTCTCCTACCACTATTGCCCCCCCCGTGCCTCAGCGAAGACGATTCCTCGCCTCGCTTCTTCACCGAACACCTCCTGCTGTCATCATTCCCAGCGCTCCCCTCGTTGTGGGGCTCAGTACCGCCGTTGCTGCTACCGTCAGCCGTGCTCGCCAGAGAGCACGACCGAGGGCTAAGGATGTCGTCCATCAGCTCTTCCATCTCTGCTGTCTCGATGTCTTTGCTGTCGGCACCACCCCCGCCGTCTTCCTCCTCGCTCGTACGCCCTGCAAGGCCTCCCTCTGCCCCTCCCCGCAGGCTGTTCTCGTCTCCAAGGAGACATGCACTGTCTTCTCGAAGCAACTGTGAGTTCATGCTTGTACAGTGTAGCTGGTGTAGTACGTCGTGCTTCCATGCATCCGCTTGCAGTCAGCCGGCCGCCGTCTGAACGCCGCCCGTCTCGGTAGCTGGTGTTTCTGCGGTGGCTCTAGAGCGCCAAGTGCCAAGAAAGCCCGACAACGATGACGGACTGAACAACACGATGTCGTGTGTTCTGACGTTCATGATACGACGCCGTTGGTTTGCGTCTAGACTAGACTTTATATCAGCACCGAGATATCCACAGACGGGCGTCGGTACTATTGCATGCTCATGTGTGATACGCTAGGATTAGGGATTGGGCATGCAGCGCTAGTCCCTCGCTCGATGAGCATTTTCTGCCATTTTCGACAGTTCAAGCAAGATATGCGCGAACTGACACGAGCGTTTCAGATTCCCATATTAAAGATCCACTTTGGATCCACGCCACCAATCATGCCGCAACCCGCATGGTCATCTAGTTGAACCTGTCACACCCAGGGGAGAAATATGCAGCTAGGAAAACCGTTGAAACACAAGTAGTGTGTCCGCTAACGCAATGACTCCATTGCTTTTATCTCATGCTCTTGTCTGTGGATAGAGATGAATCCGTTGTTTGAGTACAGCAGCAGGGTAGTCTACGGTACAGCAGCCCGATTGGCGCTCATGGCTTTCGTAGTACAAGCGTCCAGATGGGCATGACAACTGTGAATTTGGTCACCCCGGTTCCCTAGTGGGCAACCTCGAAGTAATGTTGTAGCGGCAGACTGTGGGTTCGATGCGCTCTGGGGAGCTCAGGAGTGACCATTTCCTTTCAAAATTGTTTCTTTAGTTTTGCACGGTGGACAACGATTCTTTCCGGAGTACGAATTACAATTAGCAGCGGCCGACGAAAACATTCCCACCTACAGTAATTTGTCACCGCGTCCCGTGCCCTTCATCCGTCAGGAACCCAACCGTGGGCAAGTCGGTTTGAGTGCGACTAGTGCACGGAATAGAATTAATTTCCCTTTCACGTCTTGTTTGCATGCTATGTACTGTTGAAACGTCCAGGCTGTTGAAACATCCAGGCTTGGTAGCCGAATGGAGAGATGAGCTATGTATGTATTCACAAAAAAGCCGACCCTAGACTCTGCCACATGCATATGCGTGAAGTCCTCCACGCTGAAAGTAAGTGGAGTGCTTATTTTGCAAGACGCATACAGTCGCAAAGCATGCTTTCCGAAGGTGGAACCTCTTCGAATGGCAGATGATTTAGGCAGGATGACCGTCGACCCAGAAACCTTGTTGGTGCGGCCAAGATCCAGTTTGAAACTTCTCACCGTGTGCCTTGAGTGATGGTCGGGTACGGAGCCGTGGACGTAACTTTTAGCAGGCAGCCAACACACGTTTAGGGATCGATTGCTTGAGCACACGGGCGCAAAACAACGTACGGCACGAAACAACGTAACCAATTTATTTGCACATAGATCTACGCTAAGAATGGTAGCCAAGCTGAGACCGAAGGTGGGAGAAAAAAAAACTTGGAGAGGAGCTCTCCAGGAACAGGTGTTGCCAGCCGCATCAGAAGTTGTGGCGTAGAATCGGCTCAAAAGATCCCTGTAGCACCAGCGCCAGCATTGCCGGCAGCGGCACACAAAATGTCACCCGAAAACGTGACAAACAGCACATACACGCAAGATGACGTAACCATGCGTAAAAACACTGCGTGCACGCCTGCACCAGCTACAACAAACGCCTGGTGTATATATAATACAAAAAATCAGGAATGATACCGACAGTCCTCCCGCTAGCCTACGGCAGATCTATATGGCCGCGCCCAAAGAGTATGGAGGCCGTGCAAGTGCACAAGGAGTAAGTGGTGACGGGATTCTTTGGGCGAATCAGCAAAGATGCCACCAACAACAAGCACGTCGTACATGCACCCAACATATCCTGGCTCCAACAGATGCGCCAAAAACGGAGCGCCCTCTCACGGGGTCCCAGATCATGGCCTTCAGAAGCGTTTCTACTTTCAACCGCACCAATCCGCTAAAGAAGAAACCACAAATACACCGTAGGCCCGAAGCGCAGCGTTATATCCCGTACGTGCTAACCTAGCAAAGCACCGTTCGGCCCGTGGCATCCATAGCGTTACACCCAAGCTCTCCGCCTCCGCCTGCGGTCCCCGCACCGGCGAGCACGATGCGGCTCGGCGGCGCGACTCGGATGGGCACGGCCCACTTCAGCACGCTGGCCTTCGACGGCGAAAATCCTGTCCACAGCAGCCGCGTGTGTTCAAAGCGCGTGGACAAACAAAAACAGAGAGAAGAGGGACGAGATGACCGTCAAGCCCGGTCGACCGAAGGAAAAAAACGAATAGTGGCCAAAGAGAGGAATTTTGAGGCAAACCCGCCTGTTGAACCTTGCCCAGGACCGTTGTGAAATTAAGCTGATGGATGTCAGCCAAGGGAGAAACATAATCGTGCCGTGCCGTAAAAATGTATACATTACATGGAGATGCAGCAGCAACAGATATTTGAGCAGCTGGAAGCGCTTTTTTTTCTGAACGATCCATCGAACGCTTTCCTTTGGCTCTCTCGATACGAAACGTGCCGCTGATCTTGCAGGCAGGCAACGACCCCGGCGTTGCTCGTTTGAATCGATACACGCACAGATTCGCGTCGTTCTTAGGCTGGTTCTCCTGCAGAGATCAACCCCGCTCACCCCCGTCACTCGCAAGCACAAGGCACCATCAGCGGTCGCGAGAAACAATCCACAAGCATGAGAAAACGCTCTGTGATACGCTGAAAACACAAAAGATTTTGCGGCGCTCGTCAGAAGTTCGTCAACATTGCCGATGTGAGCTGGCCCCCCGTCAGCCAGCACGACGCTCGCTCGACAGAAAGTTCCATCCAGCTACTTACTGCATCTGTCTGCGAAATCGGTACACCGTTAACCATCCGGTCACGGCTACCACCAACAGCAAGGACACTTGCACACGTACCGCCGAGGCCCCATCGAGACTCCGGGGGGGAAATGACGAACTCGAACCGGAGGCTCCAGGAGACGCTCACCAGCTCCGTGGAGAAGGTGACGGGCGCGTCCATGGGGACGGAAAGGGTCACGGAGGACTGCACCAAGCACGGCGTAAGCTCCTGCCGATCCACACGAAGGAGCGTATTGAAAGCCGGAAGAGAGTAGGAATGTCAAGCCACCACAGAATACATGTCTCGTACAAGACAAGAGGCGGGTAAGATGGCCCCGTCGGAGACCTACCTGTAGGAAGTGGATACCGTACTTGTGCCAACACAAAAGAAGGGAAACAAAAAAAGGCCGCCCGAAATTCCGTTGGCGGCCATTGTTTGGAAAAAAAAGAGTCAGCGTAGGTGCTCTTGAGAACCTCCGGTTCTCATGCGGCGTCGTGCCTTGAGGCCGATAACAACAGAAGTCGATTCTCAAACAGCACGTGGGGGCCTCGATCTGCGCAATACACCAGGGGAGCGGAGGTCACGCGCCTTCTATCACGGGCCTGAAATATCGCTTTGGTGGTTCAGCATCGTCTTCGGAGGACCGTCATTGTGTCGACAGGCGAACTCAACTACAGGCAGTCTCCCCCCAAAAAAGACAAATTCACTCGGTACTCAAGCCGGCGACATCATCATCGCCATCATGCTCCAAAAATTCTCCCTTTTTCTCGTTACACGGCCTACATTTTGGGCACGCTACCACGAAAAGAGTGTCACGACCTAGGCACTACGAGCGATAGGTGAAGAACAGCAAGTACTCGTTCGCTGTTGCAACACGCGTTCGACAGGCTCTGCATGCCCAGCACGGACAAACCTTGCACGAGTCCACAACGCGCTTGTGGCAGGTGTTCCGGGCGTTCGGCGACGGCTTCGGCTTCCCAGGGGCTGACGACGCCGAGTCCCCGGTAAACGCGTTCTGGTTCTCTTCGCAAACCTCCAAGCACGCACACACCTGAATTTCTCGACGGAGGGGCGTGCGCTTGGGGGTTAGAACTCGAGTACGGCCATCGCCAAGGAAGAAACCTGCTACTTAAAGTAACGAGCCAGGTTAATAGAGTTCAAGTACGTCCGCCATCAAGGAGGAAACCGGCTAGCAACCAGAGTTGTGAGACGGCGAGCAGACGAAGGTTGCGCATCTACTAGCCTGAAGGCACAGGGAGAAGCAACAGCTACATAAAAGCGCCGCCGCCGTCACGGCGACAGGCTCCTTATAAGGCATCAAAACCCGAATATGCGTTACAAATCAGTGCTGGGTACCTATCCCTCCCCCCCCCCCCAGAGCGCGCCAGGCGTGTTTGTGTTTTGGCTCCATTTTTGTTCTGCGCGCCAGTTTACACCTTTTGGTATTCGTTTGCCACATCGGCCGGGGTCACACAGGAAGCAAATACAAAGCGTGATTTTATTTTCTCCACATTTCTCCTGTGCTCGTCTTCAATCCCTTGGTTGAAGAAAAAACATTAGAATTTGTTAACTTGACGGCATGTTGTGAAGCCGGCGGAGAAAGAAAAAGACCGGGCTCTCGCGGTAATCAAATAGCCAAATATGAAAAAGGATTATTGAAAATCCCGCAAGCATACTTCTGCAAACCCCCTCGCCGACCTCACGGCGCATCGTGCTTGGTGATGTGCTAGCCTGCTCCAGTGAAAACGCGACGTGTTCCGTCCCGTCTTTGTAGGGATGCGAGGTCAACGGTCTAACCACCACAGGATGCACGGCGATATGAGTGCGCCCTTCCCCCAAAAAACACATTCGGGACCCACGGAATCTCATGCCCCTTACTTGCAAACAACGAGTCGACGCCCCTGAGAAGTCGAAGTTGCCAAGGACGATGTCACCGGCACAGAACTCCGCCTTATGCAGGATGAAACTCCCTATGCGATGGTCCCCGCTTCTTATCGAGTAGACCATGGGAGGGGGCGGTGGATCTTCGGCCCCGCCGTCGCCTTCACCTAGTAGCAAGGCCGATGCGCCAATGCTCCCAAAACCGTCGTCGATCATCCGCCCCTTGAATTGTCGGTTGTCGTGTCGCGGGGGGGGGGGGGGGGGGTGGAGGAAATTTTGGTAACCCAAAATACAAAAAAAGGAAAAAAAAAACCCGAAATGGTGGAAATACAAAAGCCCCTGGGGGGGTTTTTTCAAAAGGCGGTTCCCCCCGCCCGGGGTCCTAAAAAAAAAAGGGAAAAGTTTGAAAAAAAAAAAAAAATGCGACAA